AGTCACTTACAAAGCACATGCTCTAAAGCAACTTAAAACAACTTACAGACTTAAAGCAAAAGCTTAAGCACACACTCTAAAGCAAAAGCAACTTGTAAATAAGTAAGACAATGTACAAAGAATAAGTAAAGCAAAAACTTAAGGACACACCCTAAAGCAAAAGCAACTTACAAATAAGTAAAAGATTTAAAGTATTATGAAGCAAAAGGAAAATGAATATATATAGATATATATATGTATAAAATGATCGCTCATCCCAAGGCATCCTGAGAGAGTGGAGGGAGAAAAAAATAGCCCTTTGGTTACCTCCCCAGAGTTGAAGGAACTTCTCCCCAGTTTTTGCTTGGGTCAAATCCCCTTTTATATTTTATTTTTCTTTAGGCAGTTTGAGTGGCTATAGTCAATAAATTAATTTTGGGGTGATAGACAGTTGACAGAAGCCCAAGGATCCCAGCAGGATGGTTGTGAGAAAAGGCAGTGTTATGTCCATATCACTCCTTTCTTTGTTTAATCCTTTTACCAGTTTCTGGGAATGTCTCCCCAGGTGTGGGGGTTTTTCCAGGAAACCATCAGGAGCCTTTTTCTACTTCTGTGTGGCCTTATCTATCACCTTACAACTGGTATTTGGAAGATTCCCCTGCCTCCCCAGTGCTCTGAGTCTGTATTCAGTGTCTTCCAAGTGTGACGCAGTGAGGAAGTCCATGCATTTGGGCTGAAGTTCTCAGCTTCTCAGTATATTACTCTGGTTCAAACAGTTTATGTGGTAACATGGATGCTGCCAGAAAGTCAGCAGACAAAGTCTGCTTTTCTTTGTGAGAAGGGAGGCAGGTGCAAAACCAAGTTCATTTTGGTCCTGTAAAAAGTCCTCCCAGAATCAAATTCTATCTTCTTTAAAATATTGTTCTACTGGTTACTGACATACTTTATCCTTTGTTTTGCATATACTGTTTATCACTGGAAATCCCACAGTGAATGACATTGCTAATATCCCGTGGATGGAGAAAATCTCACCTACACCTGCTGAATACCATGCCCCTGTAGATGAGGGATAGCTAGTTTTCATTCTGTCCTAACTCCTTGGATTCCCATGAGGTTAAACCAGTAAAACTGTCTGTGATGCTTAGTTAATTAATGGTGATCAAAGCAATTGAGCTTGCTTTGAGATTCTTAGGTTATATTTTGTGATAAAATTTTGCAGTTTTCTCTGTCCAAACTCTGAAACATAAATCACAGTTTGAACCAAAAAGCAGTCTGTGACGTTACAAAGGTACAAATTTCTCTCTTCCTCTGTGAAGAGAATAAAAATGGGTAGCAGTTATAATTTTTTTTGCATACAAAGTGTCTGTTTGTGCTGACACAGATTATTCTTCTCAGTGGGACTAGATAAATAAATTTAAAAAATATAATTTTCTTCCTGGGAAGATATTCAGTTGCAAAATGCAGTAAATTAATTCACTTACATGGAGATATTTCATAAGTTGTTGTGAAAGCTAGACCCATAACTTGAAATGATGGGCAGAGCCACTGGAGGGTGTGTTGAAGACCGGTCTGTACCTGAATTTGACTCATAGGTAAGAGGTGTTTTAACTTTCAAATTACTGTTTAAAATACTAAGCAGAAGCTCTTTTGCTCAAGTGCTGATAAACCTCACTTATGACAATTTCATTTCAGAAGGTTTCTGTCTTGGAATTCAAAATAACAAGGGCCAAATCCATTAAAAATCCAAGAAGCCATGGTACAGAAGCATCTCCATGATCAGAGCAGCTGGAAAACACCAACTTTCAGGGTCCCATATGGACCTAGAGGAAAGCTGAAGACAATGGCCCTGGGCCCAGGCTGCAACACACTTGTACTCGACATAGTCCAACCATAGGTAAATAAAGCTGCATTAAAATTCAGAATTGTTTTAATTTACACGGGTTTGTCAATAACCACTAGAGACAAAGAAAACCCAACAAGTGGAATTGTTGATGTCACACCCCCTTCATGGAAAGCATAAGTAATAGAAAAGCAAGAGGGTCATGTGCCAGTTACATCTCCTGAAAGCCCCACAGCTCTGGACACTCTTCTGAGCCAGAGATACTGCTGCGTAATTTGTTCTACATCTGTTGTTAAAATGGGTTTACTTAAATTTTTCATTTATCCACATTTATCTCTTTTAAAGCCTGTGCTAAACCTTACCTGCTTACTGAACTGCTCTGCCGGTAAGGTGGCTTTACTGAGTATGGACAGTGTTTCACTAAATGAAACTTGTGAGATTCTAATAAGGAAAGTTTCAGCAGCTTGAGAGTATAAATGTTTCAGGATGATCGTGATAATAAGGTGTGACATAAGATACACTCTAATACACTGGGAAATAGTGAGGAACATGTTTATGATTCCAGAAGGTGTTATTGAAGAGGGATCTAGTTCCCATATATCCTCTCCTTGTCTATGTAGCAGAATTATGTGAGGATGGATTAATGCCCAGACTGAACTCCTACCAGCATGAGTTGGCTATGGATACTTTCCCTCAAAGCAAGGGCAAATATATTCAGGAGATGGCATCTCACAGAGAGGCAGGCTGCCATTTGGACCAATATCCTGGGAAATGGGCCAAGGACCACAGCTTGGTCAGAAGAGAGCTGTGGGTTACCAGCAAACCAGACCACTGACAGCACCACAGCCTCTGTATACCCTGGAGATCCTGGATGGCTACTTAGCTCTGCAGAGTTTCTGGAGCAAATAACCTTTTTGGGATTGTTGCCTAATCCACAGAGCTAAAGCAACATGGAAAAAAAAAAAGAGTAGCCAGAGAGGAGAAATAAGTGATTTTCAGAACCCTGCATGGGATACCTTTAGGGATATAATTTGGATGCTGGGTATAGGTTAGGTTTTGGCAGCTAAGATTTTCAAATAAACAAATTAAAACTACAGCAAAGTGGGCTGAGAGCCTTTTTCTTCCTCAAACCTTACTGTTGCTTTATTTATTTAGCCTTCTCTCTCCTTTCCAGCTATCATTGTGTCAGGTTCAAGAGGACCTGAAAATAAGACACCAGAAAACACTAGTGGCAGATCCAATCTATGTGGGATTAGCCCTTGGCTACATTACCTCCAAACTGAAATATATAAACAACATATAGATGTTACATGAATGTTCTGACCATAGGTACCTTCAAGTGCAGTAGCGTAAAACAGAGCTGGAAACCACCATATGGTTACAGACACAGCACTGTTTAGAAAAATCCCTGCATTTTGAAGTATACTACCATGCACTAGGAAAAAAGGCTTAAAGCAACCTTTAGAATATCAACCTGAAGAGCAAATTATAAACATTTTACATGCCTTGAATAAAAAATGTTGTTCCTCTAAGCCATTTTTCACATACTAATTTCACATTAATCTCATTGTGTAACATTAGTATGAGAAATATTTCACCAAAATCCCTTGAATTCTAAAAGTCTACTGACAAACTATTCAGTTTGGCTAAAAAAGTAATTATTCTCATTACTTTTTTCTTTAAAATATACTATTTGCTTAGAATGGCTCTTACATTGTTTGCAGAAACATAAAGAAATAATGGGCCATTTAGTGGGCTAATGTATTTTTCATTTGCTTTTTATCAACTTCCTTTAAAAAAATAAAAATATCACTGCTGAGGGTGAAATCCTATAATAAGGTTAATGAGTAAAGAAATAACACAGAACTGCGTTTATCATACTTAGCAGGTCTAAATCACAAAACAGGAGAAACAGATGCTTTGGAATGCAGCCGAGGAGTTGATCAGTAGAAGCTGATTATCTATTAATGAGAGGTTTTTAGTGGTGTACCCTGGTGTAAAAATCACTAGACTCCATTCAGGCAGTCATCAGTTGCAAATGCCATGTATATGAATCACTTGATTGATGTACAAAATTCAAAACAGATTTCCCCTGGTGCCCTATGGGTTGTCACGCACTGATGCTCTCCTATCTGTTTATGTTAATGAAACAGGGTTTTTCAGTAAGTAAATATGTGTAGTATTTAATTAAACTCACTGCTGAGCTCTGTGTGAAAATGTAGCCACATTGTTTAGAAGTAGTCTGACTGTAGTTCTTTGTTTTCACCTCAGTTTTCCTTCCCAGTTGCCTCAGTTCCCTGTCTAAAGAGAAGCTGGGTTTGTCCCATGCCAAGACGTTGTGAGCACCAAGATCTTGCGCCTTTACTCTTAAGTGGAAGGTGCCTTTGACTTCAATAATGGCAGGAACAAACCCTCATGTTCTCATCACCAGCCCCACAATTAGCAGGATTGCAAAGAGGGACCTTCTGGAGACTGAACTGCACTGGCATTGAGCAAATTGCTCTGCTTTTGACCCCCTTTGGGGTCTACGTGAGGGCTGGGCAAATGGTTTTTTACACGGTTTGTTGCCATATTAGGAGGTAAAGACTTTATGAAGTATTTGGAGACTGAATGGTTAAAACAATTTTATGAAAATATATATTATGATTAGAGTAGAAGTAAAAGCTCCTGGTTCCTACTTCAAGGCCCTACATGTGGGCAGGACAATGCAGAAAGAAGCATGAAAAGAATAAAAATTAGGCTTAAGGTAGAAGCCTGTAAAAATATTTCCCTCGGCTCTAACAAAGATCTTATACCTTTCGTTAAAGAGGAATCAAGGTTGTTATTATTATTATTATTATTATTATTATTATTATTATTATTATTTCATGTCAGTGCATTTTCTGCCTTTTTTTTTTTTGTTACTGTCATCATTATTCTCCTGAAAGAAATAGAGCAGCTGCTCATATGCTTTGCAGCACTCATAGTAAGTCCTGGCATGATTTGTGGCTCTATTTATTGAAGAGCTGGTTAATAGTTTACATTTATTAATGGCTGCTTGCCCTTTACTGTGGCATGTGTTTGCAATTTAATGCTGCCATGTGTCAATAGTATTTGCATGTTTGGTATTTTATTAGGCATCAGCAGTGCTCATGCATTTTACTTAGACCATCCTATAACTTTCCCTGGCTTTTTGTGGGACTGTACTTAGGAAAGGGTCAGTGTAACAGTTCCCTTCTTCACATTTCCAAGAGTCCAAAAGCTGCAAAAGCCACACCCGTTCAGATCTCTCCTCCTGTTCGTATCTGGTAAGATATCAAGGATCTTTTCTGGACTAATAGTGTTAGGAATACTTTGCTGAATATGATCTTTTTCTCTTGTGGCATCATTAATCAACTGAGAAAGCAATTTAAAAGGAATGCTGGACTCTGCTTAGGCTGTTTTGTCTGTTTTTTTCCCTGAGGTTCGATGCAGAAGGGGGCTCAGAATCCAATTAACTGAAGTTATTGTTATATTCATGAAGAGCTGCTCTTTCTACCATAGTCTCACTAACACACAGATATTTCAGAAATCCTACTTTCTCATGGCTTTTTTTTTTTTAAACAACAAAAAACATTTTCAGTGTCATTCCAGATCAATGATACACAGCACATGACCGAGGGAAGCAGAAATGCCAGTTCCAGCCATGGCTGTGCCTACATTCTGTCAATATGTATGAGAATGATGGCTTTGTTCCTACAGACAGTAGACCTTTCCCCTAAATGAATAAACATGCTACCAACAGGTCCTTCTCCAATGCTGCAAAAGTTCTGCTTTGGCAGAAACAGAGAAAGATATTTCCAAAGGATATATATTCCTTTACTGAAAGTACAGTAAAAGCGCCAAGTTCAATTCACTTGTTGAGTTACTGCCTTCCCTCTGATTTGTGGGGACTTTGAAAGCTGCTTGGAGATGGATGAGCATAGCTGGTGAAAAACTGTGGAATATTACTTGCAAAGTAGTCTTCAAATTAAATTCCCCAAATTGCCTTTTGCTGTGTTTTTTTAATCACCTAGCGGTCTTGTTTACAAAACTTCATGCAAATGACATATCAAAACATGGTTATTTATGAAGAAAACAAATCATCCAGACCTACCCGTTCTTTCATTTAAAGTTGAATATTTTTTATGTACTGAATGCATTCTCTGTTGCCAAGCCCTGAGCTGTCATGAGACTGGCTTAACACTGTGGTGATATTTTGTTTGAAAGATCACACAAATAGTGTTCTTTAGTGTTCATTTATCTGGTTGCAGAGCTCTCTAGTATTCACATTTCTAAGCTTTACATGCATCTGTGTGTATTGCATGTGTACCAGAAAGAGAGAATCTCATACCTCTCCTGAGAGTTAAAACTCTAGCAGTACCAAAAATAGTGGGTTCTTAATGAGGAAATCATTACATTTGGCAATTTCTGAAAACTCATGAGGTCTATAGTAAAACCTCCACTGACTTTTTTATGCAGCCCAGATTTTGCCCCATGTGAAATCAAATATTTAATCAAATTCTGCATTACTGTAAAAAAATATGGCAAAATTAGGACAGCTGTGAGTATGTCTATGAATTTTTTTGGCCACAGTCTGCATCTAAATCTGACACCTAGTTCTTCAAAAATCTTGTCCAACATCTAAGGTATGAAAGAGCTGAAATCATGCTTTTTTTCCCCCCTAACTCAATCTACATAGATTCACAGTCTAGATGATCTTACACTAAGATTCTTGAATATAGGGCTTGAACAGAGAGATAATAGTCTCATTTTGTAGTTTAGGCTGTAAAAAAAAAAAGGGATAACAGCAGGGGCACACTACATAGTCACACAACCATTAAGGTGCTTAAAAGCTTTGATTTAAATCAGGTTCCACACGTGACGTTTCTATGTTACCACCACCACAACCTTTCAGCTGAGTGCCCCAACCAGTTAGAGGTATTCTCAGGTGGCTGTCTTACGGTCTCTAATCTCAAGAATGTTTCCTATCTAACTAGTTTAATCATCACTGAATATGGTACAGGAATATGAACAACTGTGGGAATTATGATGTTTCTACTGGAAAAAAACCCCCACATCTACGGTGATGTTGGACAAGAGTGGCGGGATCAGTCCTTAGCAAACCCATCACCGGGAGAAACAGATTTTTTTTTTTTTTTTTTTTATGAACTTTTTGGCTAACATTACACAGAGCTGAAATAAATTTAATTTGTCTTATGAGGAATAAAAGCTTTTGTTGCAGAAAAAAGCCAACTTGCTGCAAATGAATAAGAGTGATTTGTCCATTCCTCCAACAGGATCCTGCTCTTATGACAGTAGAAGATCTTCAGCACCGTCTTCTTTATCATTGCTTGTAATGGGGATAGGGCAATTTGAGGCAGATATTAAAAGTGCTGGGTCCTCCATGGGTGAAAGAAATACCACTGTGAAAAGACAGTAATTCAGAACAAACTCCTCAATTTCTTACAAGCTGCCTTAATATGGTAACGGAACATAATTTTCCATGAATGCAAGAATAAAATAGTAAATAAATTGACTGCATCTTGATGTGCTTGTATATTATAGAATCCTCTTTTTTTTAACAGGTCAAAGTACGTAAGAAGGTGAAATTAAATTAACAACCCCATAGATGTGTCCTTGTCTGACAGGGACAGGCTAGTCAGGAGATGGTATCAATTTCCACTTTTGTTCAGTATGTATTTATTGGAATTCTATATATACAAGCACAAAAGCATATATACACTCTGAAGCTGTATGTTTTTAGGTTGGACCTTGAAGAATTATTTTATGACTAGGCACTCTTTGATTTGGAGTAGCATGGGTCACACACGAACACAGAAGGAAAGGGCAACTTGTGTGCCTTTAATCTCTATGCTCATACTGGTAAGGAAAAGAAAAAGGATTATTTGGAAAAACTGCATTTGATAAAAAAGGGAAAGCAAGAGGAGACTGGTTTAGATCAGCAGAGACATTCCTGTGCAGTGCTGTCTGTGCCTTGAAGAGTTTGTATCTTAAGTAACTGAATAATTAAACCCCATCTCTAGCATTTAAGATCAGGAAGACAGGGATTGACATTGTCATATGTGTTCTGGGCTGTCTTTTGCAACCGGACGTGCCTATCTCGTATTGGCCTTTTTAGCCACTAGTGCGCTTGTAACAAACGTGGGTAGAGCCCTCCCCAAATCTTCGTTCGCAAAGCCCAGCCATGATGATGATGATGATGTGTTCTGGGTATCCGCAGGACACGATTTTGGGTCTTTAGAGTGCCTGTCTAGCAGCTGCACCACAAAATGATGAAGAGGAGGACTTCCATGCTCTGACTTCTAGAAGCAGAGACATAAGCTGGCCCAGCTCTGTTAAGTGCTGCAGGCAACTTCGGAAGGCTCCTGGTGGCTTACAGAATCATGCTCACAGGCAGGTGGAAAGACAGTACAAGATTAAACGTCAAAGACTAAATTGCCTTATTTTTCCTTAACAGAAAGATAATTCAATTGCTTTGCTTTTGTAAGTTTTAAATGCAGTTGTGAAGCTTTACAAAAAGAATCTGACCTGCTGAAATTCTTTATTTTGATTGAAACAGTATTCTCTTAAATTCATAGTCGTCACTTAATCATTCTCCTAGGTTTTCTATAAAAGGTGCACCATAATGATCTTAATTTTTTAGTCTTTATTTCTTTGAGTGGTTTTTCATCCCACAGAGAAGCCACGGGGGTTTTTTTAAGAGCACGGTGAGAGAAATTATCTCTCAGACTGGCTGCAGTAGAGGGTAGTCCCAAGGCACCAAGGAAAAGAGAGATGCTTTAACTGTTGCTGGTGGCTAAGGTTCAGCCTGCATCCATCTTTACAGGGAACAGATCATTAGGTTTGTGAGTCAGGGCAAGATCTGTGAGCATGGATGTGTGCACGACCGAGAGCGAGGGACCAGAACGTGCACAGAATAGTTAACATCCTCCATATAACAGGCAACTGCCAAGCATCCTCTTGTGTATTGTAGAAACTATATCAAAAGACACATTTTCCACCTAAGTCTCTGGTGTACTGGCCTGTCCCCACTGTGATGTTGCAGCTATTCCTGACCAAGAGAGTAGAAGTGAGAAGAAAACTAGTTTTTTGACTCAAAATGGATAGAGATTGGTAACATTGGAGGAATGTTTGATAAACAACCTTCTTCTAATAATTTTTTTAAAACCAAAACTGTTTTGTTGGGAGATATTAGGAGTATTTTAGATAAGTTCTCCATGCTCCAGATAATTTAAATCTTTTTTTTTCTGTATGATATTCCAATTTGAAGAATGCAAATTGTTTCTTTCAAAAATTAATTTAATGGTAATAATTTAACAACATTAACAAAGAGAAGTCAAGGTGAAATCAAATTTTGAACTAAATCCAACAAAAATATTTTGGAACAAGTAGGATTTTTTTTTATCTTAAATTTTGGCATGTGTAGTAATTTGGGGAGATTACAATGTACAAAAGGAATATAAAATGCAGGAAAACTGGTTTTTGCCGAAATGTATGAATGTGTTTCTGTATATTTCTTGTGTAGTTTTTTATTTTGGGTCTTCCATTTCCCCCTAAACCATGCTGATTATAATGCAAATGGTACCCAACTGGGATGCATTTCTCAGTGTCTCTTTCTCTGTATTTTATCTTTGTGACCCTTTTACCTTACTTGCTAGTATCTTTCTTCATATTTAGTATGATCATATCAACCAGGAAACTGTCTGATGGTGTCAAACTTTATTTTAATATGGGCTCCTTCTCATCCCAGGCAGACAGAATGTACACGGTGCAGCTCCAGATTTCCCCAAATATTGCTCAACTGCTTTCAATGATGCCAGACTCTTTTTGTAAGCCAAATGTTGGCTTGACAGTGATGTTATAACAGGAGAATAAAGTTATGGATCCCTATGGATCCATTTTATGGGATCACAGGATCAAACTGCAAGGAAATGTCAAACTAAGGTATTTGTACAGAAATTCCCTTTCTAGGATGTTGGGCTGTAACCTTGATTCCTTTGATTCCCCACACAGAGCTGAGCTCTGTTAGGCTCAGGTTTCATGAACTGTCTCTGTCTTATTAGGAACCATCCTTTGGCCTACTTCTCTGCAAGGCTGAGAGACACAGACAGGGTAAAATCCATTTCAATTAATGTTGGGTGTCTGGTGTAGATGTTCGTGTTAGAGCTAATCACTGGGTAACTTTCATAATCAATGCAGAGAAGTGGGTTTCGTCAAGTATATGGTCCATCTTATCCCAAGATAAATACGTAAAATAGACTAATTT